TCTCGGCGTAGTCAGAAACCCCTAATCCGTAGTTCTCCCCTTGACAAAAAAACAATACATTTTATTTCAACAGATCCTATATGCTATTGTGTTCACCAATGCAAAGGATGACTTCGAATCAAGGCCAGGCAAGTTCCTATTTAACAGATGAGTCTGCAGAGAAGTGGGGCTTACTCAGCCAGAGATTAATGTCCCAGGCGGAGGCTCAGCTCAGAGAGTAGGTGCACAGTCATGAATTCCCATCTGTCACTGCTGGCGTTATGAACATAGGTGGAGTAGCTGCATGTTCCAGTCAGTTTGGACTATTTTCAACAGGACGGAAGTCTCATAAGGGTGCACAGCTTCATTTCGCTGCACACCCCTCTGAGATTTCCATCCCGTCAGCAGCCGGCTGAGCAAATCTGGCATGCATTGCCAAGGACAAAATTGAGTTTTAGAGCCTTGGGTATCAACCGTCACCTTGGAATACAGAAGCACGCTGTGGCTCGTCAGTCTATCCTCATGTTGTTTGGACCAGGCGATTACACAGGCGAAGAGTTGACAGGAAGCCAGCTGCAAAATGAAAGGTTAAAAAGCCCTAAATAAAATAATGATCGTTTATAAACTGAAAAATCAAGCCCGTTCTCATTCTTTAGCGTCATAATAGGTAACGCAATATGATATTTCATCGAAATACTACACAAGGCGTCATACAGGTGACTGGCATCCTTTAGCGTCAATATGAGACGCAGACCCCAGACCTAAACCTGCCCATAACAGTGTATTGATGCTAATGTGCGTAGTATTTCGACGAAATGTCATATGGCGTCACCTATCTGGCGCCAAAGGGAGCCCGTGCTGGAGACTGTGTTGGAAAAATCACATTAGAATTACATTTTAGAGTGGAAAAGAACAAACTAGTGTTAAGTTTGGTTCTTTTGGTTCTTAGGAACCAGCAGGCAGTGTGTTTCTCAGAATCAAGAGCGTGAAACCAGGGGAAGGCGCTTGTCTGACAGTCTCTGCCAGTATCGTCAACGCCTTCAGCCTCAAGGAGAAATTAACTTGGAAATTTTGGAATATAAATTTGACCTGTGTACCTGTTGACCTATACAGTCCAGGTGTGCATGTTATGCAAATACAAATCTTTGGATTGATTTTGAAATTTCAGATCAGTTATGACGACACATGCACTCAGTTTCTGAGGTTGATAAGATTTTTATCTTAAGTCTCTTGTGCTTAATCAAGAATAAAGAGTAATAATTGTGGGTTAACTTATTAGTATTTAAATCAGATCAAAAATACGGTAATATTGTGAAATATTACAATTTAAAAGAACTTTTAAAATGTAATTTAGTCATGGCAAAGCTGATTTTCAGCTTCATTATTCCAGTATTCAGTGCCATGTGATCCTTCAGAAATCATCCTCATATGCTGATTTGATGCTCAAGAAACATTTATTATTATTATTAGTCCTGTTCTACGATCCATTTTTTTTTGGAAACCATTATTACTTTTATGAATTGAAAGTTCAAATGAAGATTTTTTTTTTTTGCAAAATATAAATATTTAGCAAAAAATATTTTGATCCATGTGATCCTTACTGAATAAAAGTATTAATTTATTTAAAAATAAATCTTACTGACCCAAACCTTTAAATGCTTGTGTATTGCATGCATTGAACACAAGCTCTCTAAACAATGACAGAACTAACTTTAATAGTTTGGCAATTGGTCGTCTTTGTGAAAAATACAGGCAAGGTAAGCAAATCCGAGTAGGTATAGGGAAGGAAGGAGCTGTCCTTGGTCCTGAGAACTGAGACCGAAATCATTGCTGCCCACAGAGCTACACGTCACAAGTCATGTGATCCAAGGTCACATGTTATGCGATCCAGGAGTTGAGCATACCAGGCTATGTTTAGAATAGAATAGTATGAATACAGTGCAGAAATATGCTACATTGTCACATGACCTCGTGTTGTAACACTAATATTTTTAAATTGCTTTCATGATTTGAAATAAAGCTGAAATAAAATGATGTATATAAATATTAGATCAACTTAAACCAAACACACACACACACACACACACACACACACACACACACATATATACTGTATATATATATATATATATATATATATATATATGTGAAGAGTTCAGATGCAAAAGCCTCTAAATGCCATTTGAAATTTTCTTCTTTAATGATGATTTTTTTATCAAACTTGTATATTTAAGTTCAGTAATTTCACTTAAATAACAATTAATAGGTAATTATCATTGCCATTTAAGTGAAATCACTGAACTTAAATATACAAGCTTGATAAAAATGATCATTAAAGAAGAAAATTTCAAATGGCACTTAGAGGCTTTTGCATCTGAACTCTTCATATATATATACTGTAAAAATAATCTTGATTTTTACGGTAAAAGAGTGTAAAAATGCTACAGTGCAAAACTGTTAATTTGTTAACAGAAAGTTTCCGTATTTTATACGGTAAATAACTATGATATAATTTTACTGTAAAATACCATTAAATTTACAGTTTTTGAAAGTGAAAAAGAACAACTCATTGTATAATTTACAGTAAAAAAACGTAAATTTACATTCCCACAATTCCTTGTGACACTTCACATTTTATGTATTTTTGTTGAAATAACTGTGGTTCCTCATAGTTTTTTTCCAGTCAGTTATTTACATTAGGGTTTATGCTACATTTAATGTTGTTACATCAATGGTTATTGCATTTTCTTAATTTCATGCATGTTACCATGATGTTGTTTGTGTGAATGACACTGTGCAGCTTCTTTATAGTAGTATTAACCTGCTTATGGAAGATTACTTGAGATGAGCTTTTTATAAATATATATAAATTACAAAAGCACATTACAAAATTGTGAAAGCTTGAACTCAAAATGAAATCTAAAAATAAAATATTATATATTAATACATAATGTAATAAATATAAATAATAATTATGAAATAACTCAGCAGGTGGTTTTCTGTTTGTTATTTAGCATTTTTTAAATGCAATTTTGCAAGTCAGGTGATTAAAATAGTCAATAAAAATAAAAGTCAAAGAGAAATTGCTGATATACCGGTTCATTCATCAGGCAAATTGAAAGTTAAGTTGAGAGCGCATTGTATTGTGGGGGAAGTCTGTGCATACAGAAACAGTGAAGTTCAACACAGTATTATACTGCAGCAATAAATAATATGGTAGTATACTATTCTGAATAAAGCCTCGGATAAGGAGGCGTACAGTATGTAAGCTCTTTAAGAACAAGAATATTACTCTTACAAAGACCCATCTAAACTCTTAAGCCTCTTAAATACATTTAAGATATAGATTTTAGGGCATGTGGAGAGGGAGCAAAGTGCCAAAAGCAAGAGATGGAGACAGAATGACCGACAGTCATTTCTTTGAAGGTCAACAAAAATAGTGACTCACTGGTATCATTTTTTTTATTATTATTATCATAATATGAGCTCATCCCTGTCCATGTAAAATCATAAAAACACAACTTACACTATCCCAGATTTTTAACTGACGAAAAAGTTCCATAATATAAGAGCTGAGAATCTAAACTGCACTTAAATCATGGACAAAGAAGTAGCACCATTGTCCTTGAACAAGGTATTGTAATAACTTTAATTTGATTAAAAAGTTTTGATTGGTCGATGATGTCACCACCAGCTACACAATCCAATTTTTCTAAAACGAACTGGCTCTCTTTGAAGCCAATAACAAGAACACAAGGAATGACTAGTTTCACCTCATTGTGTCCACGGCCTTTCGGATGGGAGACATGCAAGGTGAGATGTAGAAACGGGCTCTTGTCATTAGAAAAATTAGATAGTCCTGAGTCGCAGCCAGAAATTTTATTTATTCCTTTGAGATGTCGGCTGCCAAGCTTGGAGTGGTTTGCTGGCATTGAATCTGATTAAAAGCAGAACAACATCTTTGTGTTTTAAATTCGAAAGTTTGCTGAAATCAAATTCAATTAGAGAACGAATGAATCATACAGTCCGGCAGATGATGAATTATTCATCGCATTTCCATAACAAACGATGAAATCACAGCCTTGTCTTTATGAATGCTTGTCACGCTCCCATTTTCATAAACTCTTGCTTCGTTCTCGGCTTGATTATCTCTTAGATCCCTCACAGTCTTTCTAGAAGTTGGGTGATGAACCATTACAGGACGTTAACTTTGATCAATGCAATATGTTCTCCTTTGTCTCTTTCTTGAGGAGAGATTTGCCAAACAATAGCTTGCAGATTTGATTCATCTCATTATATACACAGTATTCTTTTAGTTTGAGTTGAGTTGAGATAAAGTGGGAAGGAGCTGTTATGGGAATCAAATCAAAATACAATGTAAAATCTTCCAAAATGTGTGTCTTGGGATCTAGGAAAAAAGGAAACATAACTGTTGTGAATCTATTAAAGGGGGAGGGGGGGGGGGGTTAAGCATTATAACATGCTCCTAATGATGAAATGTTAAATAATAATGTATTTTAGTTGCTTTACATTTCTCTTGATGAATCGCGAGAGTAAGAATGTGTTCTAGAATCTGTAATTGAATGCAAAAAAAAAAAAAAAAACTATTTGTGTGCTCAATCAAAATGCCCACTAGATGGCAGTACAACACTAATAGTACAAATCAGAATATGAAAAGTCAAACATTTACATAAGGTAATGCGTGATCAACTATATGAAGATCATTTATGATTGCCAAAATATTGTTCAAACCCAGCATTATCTATCCATAACTTTTAGACAATAATAAATCAGAAAATTTGTCACATCTTGCTTCCTTTTTTTCTGTATGCACTTCCAAAGGTCTAGAGCGATTAAAGCCTCTACTGAAATGTTGATATATTTTAAGGTGGCTATAATGGATTATGACTTTATGGCCGTCACATATCACCTCCTCTACAAATAGACCTGACCTTTGCAGAATGGAAAAAGAGGTCATTTCTCTTGTAGCACTTAGTGTCTGCAATATATTTCATGATGCAAAATGTAGCCTATAAAGATAAAAGAAAAAGAAAGAAACCCTGATAAATTCAGAGGATTTGACAGCTGTAAAGTTCTGATATTTACTCTTCCCAAGAATATAAAGCAATCTGGAGAGAGCACAAAAGCTGTCAAAAATGATTTCATTATTTTCTGTGACATGAATGACACTGTCATGCTTTTGATAAAGATTTAACAACCCATTAAGAAATAATACTATAAGTATACTAAAGTGTCTCAAACATGAAAAAATAAAAATTGGTCCTTGATGATCTGCTTAAAGTCACCATAAAAATCTAACAATATATATATTTTATTTATCTGTGCATAAATGCAAAGTTCTATAATGAAACTCTAGATGGTGCAGGCTGACAAGTTCTTAACCTAATCTGTTTAGAATCACATCATTCATAGGTCACTGCTGATTGGTTCCTTCTGTATCAGTAGCCAATGAGCTTGCTGCTCAACCTTCAAATACTTGGTCAGCATTTGCTGTAGCTGTTACAGTGTGCTTTCAAAAACCCTCCACCTTCCCCAGCTCCACCTGTATAGATCTGCTACGGTTAATTCATGTATGCCATATTGTAGAGCAGCAGCATGCCTTACTAGCTCACAGCAGCATGTCATGTCATGTATTGGCAGTAGCTCCTCATTGCAGTACACAAGATCCAGGGGCGGAGTTGGATCCAGATCTAAGGGGTGGAGATGGATAGGATTAGAGGTGGGGTTAGGGATCAGGGGATGGAGATGGATAGGATTAGGGGTGGGGTTAGGGATCAGGGGGTGGAGATGGGTAGGATTAGGGGTGGGGTTAGCGATCAGGGGGAAGGTATATGTAAGGTGGGAGGAGTTGGATCTGGATCCTCTGGATTTCATGTTCTGCAGTGAGGACCATCTTGTAGCAAGTCCTGCACTTACTCTGCAGCAGCAGCAATGACCAAAAGCAGCAGCGTAGCAGATCTATTCCACCAAGACCAAACGTAACAATGTCATATCCATTACCATCTCAAACACAGAGTTTTCATGACAGAGAGGTTGTTTTTTTTTTTTTAGAAAGTTCATGTGCCCCCTCGTAATCTTTAAACAAAATATCTTCCCCTCGCACTTGCAATGGCATCTCCTCTTCTCCGATGAAGTATTTACTGGAGAAAGGGCGGGCCAACCTGTCAATCACATCAGATCAACCAATAGCAAACAACAATCTAATCAATTCCAGATCAAAATCAAGTCAAGCCCCACATTTTTATTTTATTTTTCAAAAGCTGACTCGTCTATCACAACTTCTGTTTCATGCTAACTAACACAGATAAAGCAGCATTTTCCACTTCCTCAAAAACGTTTTCAGTTGACCTTTTTGTACAAATCACAATATGTCAGATAACAACTGTAATAAGTTAAACATTATAGCTCAAGGCACAGTAACCCATAGATTAATCCCAGTGATTTTTCTCTCATCATGAATACACAAATAGACTTGTTAAGAGTCAATAATTGCTCTCATGGGTGTAAACCTGCATTTTGCTGGTGAAATCACTTGGCTAATGGCTAGCTTTCCCGGACTTGGATCAATCTGTAACCTTATCATGCCCCTTGAAACAAACTGCGTAAAAGGAAGCACTATCAGTTCTGATATAGCAAAACAAACTGACTTTTAAACAAACACCATATATTGCAGAGGAACATTTTAATTAGAACGTGAAATCGGGCTTTTGAGGGACAGTTTAGGCAAGAACCCCATAATTGATCAGACACTTCATCTCTTACTTGCTTCGGCATTACGCAGTGCACAACCTGCTCTTACTGACGCGCTCGTCGCGTATTAGGGTTACCACGGTCTCATACCACATCAGCCTGGTCAGCCCTGGGCGGTGCAACACCTCTGTCAGCTCTCTGCAGTTATGCACACTGGGAAAAGGATTTTTATATATCACACAAATTACCACGGACAGATTCTTGGCTTCGCACCAAACGAAACTGCGTTAATTTTCATCTCTGAGGTCTAAAGCTTGCTGTGACTGGAGCGTGTGTTTTATTCCAGAAGGACATTCAAAACGGACATTTTAACTTTACTGAATTTTCTTTCTCTGGGATACTGAAATATGACCTTTTTGCGCGCGTCCTGGAGAGCTGATAAGTAATTTCTGCGGGGGAAAAAAAGGAAACAAACACAAGTGGAGCATGGATAACGGTACTATATTCAAATTTAACAACAACACTACTTCGATATGGACTGATTATACTGTCGAATACAAGGTCGCGAGCATCTTATTAGTGATCCTTATTTGTGGAGTTGGAATTGTTGGCAACGTTATGGTCATTCTTGTGGTCTTAACGACCAAGCACATGCGTACCCCAACTAACTGTTACTTGGTGAGCCTGGCAGTGGCCGACCTCATGGTCCTGACGGCAGCGGGGTTGCCCAACATCACCGAGAGTCTTTTCGGCGGCCAGTGGGTGTACGGATACGCCGGGTGCCTCTCCATCACTTATTTTCAGTACCTGGGTATCAACGCGTCATCCTGCTCCATCACAGCCTTCACCATTGAGCGCTACATTGCAATTTGCCACCCGATAAAAGCACAGTTTATGTGCACCCTCTCCAGAGCCAAGAAGATCATTGTTCTCGTTTGGGTTTTAACTTCCCTCTATTGCGTTATGTGGTTTTATCTTTCCGACACGACAGAAGTTGTTTTTGACAACGCTGTCATCGTGACGTGCGCATACAAAGTATCCAGAAACATGTATTTGCCAATATATTTCACAGACTATGCGGTGTTTTACGTTATCCCTCTTTTGCTGGCCACTGTTTTATACGGATTTATCGCAAGAATTCTTTTCCTCAACCCATTGCCGTTGGACCCCAAGGAAAGTCGAAGAAACTGGAAAAAGCAGTCGTCCGTGCATGGGAACTCCAGGAGTTCCTCCAGCACCACGACTGCTGCTTCTCGGAGACAGGTAAAGTGTTGATTTTGACGCAAAACTTTGTGCGTAATTGTGCGAATGGGGAGCCTAAGTTCTAGCAGCATTCACTGGTTTGGAAGGTGAATCGAATTCTGGTTCCAATTTCTCTAAAATTAACGAATAGCCTACACTAAATAAATGCATGTCTTATTAGACTATCTAGGGTAACAACAAATCTAAAATAAATGTGATAGGTCTGGTGCAAGTTCAACTCTTGCAAAAATGTTGTTCAAAGACTTTTCAAAGCCGTAGAGACGTTTTTATAAATGCACTTCAGCAATTTAGCGTCTAGATTTTTAATCGCGTTTTTGATTCGCTAAAAATAATCTCATTCAACTCATCAGATTAATTTGGGGAAATAACGGCTGTGGTCGCGATTTGTTTTAAAAGAACCGATTCCTAGAGTCATTCTTTAAAGAACCGATTCATTAAAGTCATTCTTTTGAGATTTAATACATTTGTCATTGATTCACACTAAAGAGTAGTTGGCTCGTTGCATAAGAGTAGGCTATATTAAGTTGCGCTGTTGATTCGGTTGCGGTGTTGTGTTAGTGCAGGAAACATACTAATCCCGAACCAGAACACATCAGGCGTCAGCCAGTTCTTTGAAAAAAAAAAAAAAAAAAAAAAAAAAAAAGATGCTTTGTGACGGCTCACATATAGCCTCGAGCAGGTAAAGGTCCAAATGCATAGTGAAAACAGGCGCCATCTGATAAACTCGGAACGACTGCACTTGTGTTGCCCTAGGCTCTTTGCCTGGTTGTCCAACATAGACAGAAACACAGCCTCTTATGACCTTTATAAAATCAGTCTTTAAGCTATGAATTTTCTCAGGCTCTACAAATGTGTTTTCCATAAATGAACCATGACATGTTATATGGTGTATTAACACATTTGGCAACAATCTGGCAAACAAAGCAACAGCTGTATCGTGATAATCATGTTTATACGGTTGAAAAAGGTCAGGATTGAGTGATAAATTAAAATGAGCATGCTTTAATTAGAAAACAGGTATCCTGTTAGTTAACACGTCATCCGTTTTCACAAACATTCACAATTTGATCTTACCCGTTAATTAGTTGCATTGAAAAAAGGAGCAACAAAATGTAAAGCTATTAATGGTAGCTACACAATAAATGCAAAACCACTATTAAACAATTTAAACACTGTTAATGCTTAGAAATATAATATAATATAGGTTACACTTTATTTTAAAGGAGCATTTCACCCATGTCAACATTAATCTTTATTGAAAGTGGCTCATATGTAGTCAAAATGTAAAAGAATTTTTGAATTTTGTGCCCTCTTGACCGAGAAAAGAAATGTGTAGGACAACAACTCCCACAATGCACCACATTGCACAGCTCCGCAAGCCAAACCCACTAATCTGGAACTGCGCACAAATCAGAGAAATCATTCTTTCATCAACAAGGCTAACGTTAGCTGCCAGTAGAGTTTGAAATTCATTTCACACAAAATTTCTAGTTAGTTGGCTGTGGCGAGCAGGACGAGGGACGTGAGAGCGGCGCGAGAGGACAGCGCGAGGCCGGTGGCGTGAGTGATCAAGAAAGACAGGTCTCGTATCTCTCACGGAGGAGCGGGAACATAAACGGCAGATAGAGAAACAGGCCTGATTTTATGTTGTGTTTTGTTTCTGTTGTGTGACAACAGTCGTCAATGACGTACTTCTGGCTTATACTTTTGTTTTGTATTTGTTCATTTAACTATTAAAATGTATAAATGTTCGCCAGTTCCCACCTCCTTCTTCCCACAACAACAAACCCCGTTAAAGTTACATTGGCAAACTCATTAGTGAATTACTCCTCATTTGTATTTCTTTCTATATGGTGCACTGTAAAAAATAAACCGTAAATTTTACGGTAAAAAAACAGCAGCTGTGGTTGCCAGAACTTTACCGTTAAAAATACGGTAGGAACATTAATGGTTTTACAGACTTAACTTAAAATTTACAGTAATAAACCGTATTTTATTTTCTGATAAAATGTTGATTTACCAACTTATTGATATCTGTTTTAGACCATTGTAATACACTGACAACCATCAATCATCACAGCAGTGATGAGAGTTACTTGAGCAATCACGGCTCATCATAAGTGATTAATTAAGTAATACTTATATAAAGAAGCTGCACAGTGTCATTCACACAAACATTAAACACCATCATGGTAACACACATGAAATAAAAAAAATGCAATAAACATTAATTTAACAACATTAAATGTAACATAAAACCCTAATGTACATAACTGATTTAAAAAAAAAACAAAACAATAAAACTATGAGGAACTATAGTTATTTCAACAAAAAAACATCAAATGTGAAGTGTCACACAGGGAATTGTGGGAATGTCAATTTACGGTTTTTCACTGTAAATTATACAACGATTTGTTCTTTTTCACTTTCAAAAACTGTAAATTTAACGATATTTTACTGTAAAATTATATCACAGTTATTTACCGTATAAAGTACGCAAACTTTCTGTTAACCAATTAACAGTTTTGCACTGTAGCATTTTTACAGTCTTTTACTGTTAAAATCACGGATATTTTTTACAGTGTGAATTACTGCATGATACCTGGATGTTCAGTCAGGCGAAACTAAGGATGGTTCACATCACAACACAAACGTCCATGTGCTCGTCTGATTCAGAGATTTCGTCCAGGAGAAATTGCCATCATTGAAATTCTCCGCAACAGCCGGACTCTATGTGTCCGTAGGCCGTAGTACAAAGCGAGAGCATGAGCATCAGCAGTCCGCCTCAGCTCGAGCCAGCCCGGCTCGTCGACCGCGACAGGCAGCCGCCTCCGGTTCCTCCATCAGCCTCAGCTGCTATTCACTATATTGCGGCTCGTAAAGACAGCTAAGAACATCGGATTCGAGCAGCAGAATTTCAAAATCCTCTTCTTCCGTATCATGTTTAGTTTCTTCCGTCATTATAATACTTCCTATCTCCACAGCACTTGTTAGCTTAGCTTCCAAACAAGATGGCTGACATTGATTTCAGTTTCTGCAAGTGAAGTCCCACCCACTGATCTGTAATAGGTCTGTAGCGTGAGTGGATCCCACACCCTTGAATAATGAGGAGCTAAGATTGTAGTCTCATACTTTTAAAAGAAATGTGACTTCCTGCTTATTATGAAGCAAAATGACGATTTTTACGTCATAATAACGGGAATGTCACGGGAATTCGTACGAATTTTACGAGGTGGCTAATTCGTAACAATTCATACGACCTCACTCGTACACATTAGTACGATTTTGGTAAATCTTACATATTTTACGAATTGGCCAATTCGTATGAATTCGTATGAATGACCTACCCCTGACCCCGCCCCTAAACCTAACCATCACGTGGGTTTAGACAAATCGTATGAATTCATACGAGTGAGGTCGTACGAATTAGCCACTTTTTAATCACTTGTACAAATTCGTACGAATTGGTCGTGAGATAGGGTAGAAACACTTAAATCCTCATTTCTCCCATCTCAGGGGAAAATAAGTGAATAAACCATGACCATTCAAAAATATGACTGGGTTTCTTAAGATACAAAGCTTAATGCAAATGGGTGAAGTGTCCCTTTAAAGAAGATTTAAGATTAAAAAATGCAATTTTGAGGGATCAGAGAGTTATATAGGCCTACATAACTAAACACATCTGTCATGCTGTCTGCTGTAGGTGACAAAGATGCTGGCAGTGGTGGTGATTCTCTTTGCTTTGCTGTGGATGCCCTATCGGACGCTGGTGGTGGTCAACTCCTTCCTCAAGGACGCCTATCTGGACACCTGGTTCCTTCTGTTCTGCCGTCTCTGCATTTACATGAACAGCGCCATCAACCCTATCATCTACAATGCCATGTCGCAGAAGTTTCGCGCCGCCTTCCAAAAACTGTGCCATTGCGGGCCCCAGCGCTCCGAGAAGCCCCCCACTTACAGCGTGGCCCTCACGTACAGTGTCATCAAGGAGACCTCCAACGGAGAAAGCCCAGACCACTACACCACAGAGCTGGACGACATCCGCGGAGCCGCCGAAGAGCTCCTGCCCGAGAGGAAGAGGTTGTCATGTAAAGAGTCCTCACTAGCTTGTAAAGGCACATTGGCAAGTGCTTAGCTCCTCATTGGTTTGTGTTGATTAGGTTACTTCATTTGCAGTGTCAGCAGTTTCACAGTGCCTCAGAGTAGCCTGGAGTGGTGGCCACATGAAAACAGTATTTTGACAATCACAGACGTTAATTAGCAGATTTATCATAACTTTTCAAACTAGAGTTTGCTGAAGACCAAAATAGGCCCCATTCCAGTCCTGTGCAGGTGCCGTAACGCTCCTAAAGCAATCATGGACAGATGATTGAATGGTTGATTGAACATGAAAGGGTGATAGTAGATTTGGATGTGATTTGTGGACTCAAAGCACTACCACTGTGGTCACTGTGGCAACAACCACATGCATCACTGCCAAGACATCACTCAAGAAAACTTGTTCCAAGAACGGGTGTCAAATTGATACTTACACTACACTCTAAACAAATGGGCAGTTGATTACTTCTCGGTTTCACTCGTAAGCTCAGTTTTACAATTGTGACTCAAATGTATTCTGCCCAATTTCTGCCCAAGGAGTGTAAAATGACCCGAGTCTCAAATCATCATTTTACACCTAACCCTGGCACTAGATTGAAGGGTGTTGTAGATTCAAGTCCTGAACTTTAGGATTTTAGCAAGCCACGATTGACACCCACTTCCCACATTTATCAGTCAAATACCAGAGTAAACATGTGTCTGTTGCTTTTTTCACATATATTGTGAATAGCATCATCAGCCGAGGCTGTTTTCTCACAGTGGCATTGATTTCCAAGCAGAGCTCAATTTTAGCAGATAGTACACTGCAAAATTAAGGAGATGAAAATAATTTGTCATTTTAGATGTTTATATCTGTATCATGTGCATCTTTGTGGTATACTTAAGGGAAGGTAATTTAACAATTATTTTATAGGTAACATTTTACAATAAGGTTTCAAATTTAGTTAACATGAACAAAGAATGAACAATACTTCTACAGCTTTTAATCATCTTAGATAATGTTAATTTTAACTTTTATTATAAATTTGCATTTGTTAACACTAGTTAATGCACTTTGGACTAACATTAACAAAGATTAATAATTAAATACTGTAACAAATGTATTGCTCGATGTTAGTTCATGTTACCAAATGAGACCTTATTGTAAAGTTTATGCTGTAAATACCTTGTTTTAATCACTTGAAGAAAAAAAAAAAAACGTTTCAGCTGTCTATCTGTAGTTTTCAGTAGTTGGTTGCTGTAAAATAACAGTGTGAACATGGATTGTAATGTGAACTTTTAACCTAACAACTAAAATATATTTTCCTCATAAACACTTTATATGATAAAATGTACAGCTTTTGTGATGTAAGCAAAAAAAAGTGTATTGTGGTAACATTTGTTTTGTGTTTAAATTGTCTTGCTGTTTTGTATTTGTATTTTGTACAGTTGTTGTTTAAAATAAAGTAATAGCTATTTGGGAAATTCCTCTTGATTTCATTTTTATGGTTTAACATCCTCTAAAAGTGATTGAGATATTACACTAATGTTTATTTCAATAAACATTTCTACAAAACTCCTGCTACATAAAATCCAATCAAATGGATTTCAGCTCATTTCCTTTAAATCATCCCCTGGATATTGGTTTTGTCACAGATTAGTGTCCAGGTCAAAACACCTTTAAGGCCCATTTCATTGCAGAAGCCGCCCTCATGCTAAACTGTCAAGTTCATGGAGACTGACGCTCAGCCAGAAGATGGACATAGAAGCTCTAGAGGAAGAGCCTGGCCAGACATTTATTACCACTCCTCCCTCCTGCCCTCCAATTACAATAAATCATTACTCCAGAAGTGGGTGATCAAAAAAGTGATTTATGAGAGGGAACAAACTAAAGAGCACCAACAAACATTAGAGCATTCATTCATACAACACTGGAGGTGGTGGTAGTTTAAGTTACAATTTATGCAAAATCTACAATATATCTCACCTTCTGTTTATGCTATATTGCTGTCCCTTTCCCTCTCGATTTATGGGAAACAAATTAGAAAAATGTACTATTTTCGATGTGTTTAACCCATTTAACTTTGCATTTTAATCAATGAGTTTGTCACCTAGACACCTTCTTCTTTAGAAGTTCACAATTCTCAATTCTAATTAAAAAAGCCTCAATTCCAAAACAAAAATAGCCAAACAAGTTTTTAGAGTCAAGTAAACAGTCATTAATAAAATAAGAACAATTGAACAAATTACAACTGATACCACATATAAAGCAAGGGAACAAAGACACAAATGAAATAAAATGCGGTTTAAAGCAAAAGCATGGTATAGGTCTAACAGTAAAGGCATATTACAGAAATTGAATAATAATTATCTTCACTGTATAAATTTAATGTAAATTGTTAAGATACAAACGTGGTTCGATCAAGCGCTATGAGTGTTAAGGCCCGTTCACACCAAGCACGATAACTATAAAGATATAATTCTAAAAATCGTTCTCCATATTAAAGAATAACAGAGTTCACACCACAGCCACAACGGTAAAGATATGAGGAACGATATTGGGATCACTTAACGATTTTTTTCCTGCTGTCCAACGATAAAACACTGACAACCAATCCGAATCCATTCTAATTAATTTAAAGGTTTCGCGCATTTAAAATGGCAGTTGACATTGCAGAGAAGTTAATCGTCGAGGTACAAAAAAAAAAAAAAAATCCTCCACTATTTGACAAGTCACACCCCCTTTTCAGGGATACGTTAAAAAATATGGATAGCCTATGGAAAGCAATCAGTCGTTTTCTGGGAATAAACGGTGAGAAGTATTCACAATGAGATATTATGCAGTTTAGCATAGTGTTACAAAATTACCTCAGATAGCCTATCCAGAGCTATTTGACAACAATGCTGAAGTTGCAGTGAAAAAGGTGTTGTATACATAAAGGTGTTGACTAGGCGATGTTTTTTTCCTTTTGACCATACGTCAACATCCGCCTTTTTAGGGTACCCTTAAACGTCGGTTACATGACGGGGTAGGTTTAGGGGTAGGTTTAGGTCTGGGGTAGGGTTAGGATCCGATAACGTCATCTAACTGACATTTTAGGGTAGGCTACCCTAAAAAGGCGGATGTTGACGTATGGCCAAAAGACGTCCCAAGACGTCAGTTATATGACTCTTATTAGACACTATGACAGTTATTCATTGACTTCGTCAGATAAATCCACTGTAGATGTTTCACTAGACTTGCTAGATTCACTGTTTAGATCCGCTCCCAACTCCTCTCGTCTTTTAAGGATATTGTGTACCCAAAAGCGGCTGATTTTCTTTTGATATTTGTTTGTAGCAGCAGCAGTAATCCATTTTCTACTTTGAAACCTCAGCGCGAGCGCGCGATGCTTAGAATAAAAAGACTGTTTTCGGTTGTTGGTGTGGACGCATGTATAGTTATCTTTACCGTTATCTTTATAGTTATCGTGATTAGTGTGAACGGGCCTTTATTCTGTGTTTTGTTCTTTGATTACCAATGATACAGCAGGTTTATTAAGCTGCTGTCACTTTAAGACCTGACACAAATCTGATTTCTCCCAACTCTTTATGTTCAAGACCTTCATAATCTGCTTACGAGGAGACTCACCAAAAACAGGCATTTTGACTAATTTGTGTGGGGTTTATTTTCAGTTGAAGCAATATATTCAAATTTTTTCCCTGTTTATTTATGTATTTATTTGATTGTTCCAGCGAACTGTTGCATAAAAAGAATTCCACAGTGTGGCTTCAATTGGCCTTCACATATTTGTACCTTTTTAATTTATTTTTGATCAAATAAATCCAGCCTGGGTGAGAGGCTTTAAAAATTATTTATTAATGAGTCCAAACTTTTGCCTGGTTTTACATATACTTTTCCCACATTTTTTTCACACCGTCTAATTGCTTACAAGTGCCAACTGGGTTTCTGCATCAAAACTCATTGGCGTGGGTGCCTGGAGCCAAAAAGACACAAACAAACGAATCCAGCATTAGCCCCGAGTTGGATGTGGTGAGAATGAGAGAATGTTAATCTCAACCAATGGTCTCTTGACACAAGAGTCAACAAAACGAGATTAGCAGGACAGGGCTGATTAGTGTAAACAGCTACAGCCCAGTTCAGCCTCATGCATTTATGTCAACACTTGACAGTGGAGATAACAGTACACTCCACTTCTATTTTAGGATGCTGCATTGTATAACATCATAACCTATACTGGAATACAAAGAGGCTGGAATACAAATGAATTGCAGTTTATACTCATTCAGTGCATGTGTACAGAACATAAGGACGATCTGTTTGCATCTTGGCATGGTGACAATAAACCTTTTTTCAGATTTTACAAGGATACACATTTCATTAACAGCCTGTTTTCTAAAATCTTCAGCAAACATGAACTTTAGAAACAGTCGAATTGAAACAAATTATGAAAATCCATGTTTTAAACATCCACAGGCCACATAGTGGAACACAGAACAATGGACAGAGAAACCTGTTGCTTAGGCTTGTACAGTTTTTCAGTCCAAACAAAAAAACAAAAACACACCGCAGTGACACAAGTGCTCTCGTGGAAATGTCAACTCTCCATGTCTATCTTGTCAAACTTAACATTCAATTATATGTGACTGGAAGTGCAGTTTCCGCTCAAATTAAATTATTGTTGGCCTCGTGTTTTTCTGTCAAAAATACAACAAATACAAAATAAGTCATGCCGACAGACTGAAGAACATCTCAGTTGGTAGATATTAACCATTTTTCATAAATATAGCTAAAACGGGGGATCTTTAATATTGCTTATAGCAATGCCTTGGAAAAAACAGCCACAATTCCAACATTTTGAAGCCATAATATTTGGAATAATAAAATTGCCATAGAATGGTGACAGTAGAGAAAGAAATCTCTGATGACCGAGGCACTCCTTAATTAAAAATGTCTTTATTAAACAAATGACATGTCCTAAACGGACAAATTTAAAAAGCCCACGCGTAGCGGCATGGTTAGGGCATGTGTTTTTTGACCAACCTGAGCTACCCTTTGACCACCAATCTTTCACATGCATTTTATTATAGACGGTAACTGATGAAAACAATCGAATTAATCAATAGAGCCAAATCGCAGAATCTTTAATATCAGTAGGTAAGAAACCTGTCTAGATGTCTCGGCTCACTTATGTGGGTTTATTATAAACAGCCACTTCTAAACTTAAAAGTAAACAGGATTTTAATATTACATTAAAGTTATATCAATACGAAAATAATTATAAAATTTACAGTATAATGGACGTAAGCACCGCAGATGACCTTCTGTAATGCCCACAGCTAGTAAACACACACTCCCACCTGATGCTAGTCCCATCCGAATAAGAACATGAAATCGCAGACATTAGGTAATAAGAATTGTGATAGAAAACTAGTCCCATCCTAATAGGGCTTAAGACAAAAAAAAAAAAAAAAAAAATTCCTCTCTCATGTCTGCTATAACTAATCTCTTAACCTATCTCTTTCTAAGGAATAATTCTAATTCATTCAGTGCTTTGGAGCTATTTGAGATTTAAGTATCAATATTTCTTCAATACATCACATTAATAACAGGCTAGTTTTAAAGGAAATTCTAAGAATATCTAAAGAACAGTTTATAGCAATGAACTCGTGGTTATGAAAAAGAGAACCTTAAATGGTGCGGAAATCACTTCACTGCTATCACAAGAGCAACAAAGTGAGTCGAGACCTTATAATAATGCCTTGACCCTGTGGTCATTGGCTTACTGTCTCTGATTGGCTTTTGTTTGGCATGTGAAAAAGTGCGATCCAAACTTATAGACTTGATACTATCTATAATGTCTTCACCCTAAGGCTTCTTTTCACCCTTCAAAGTTACTTTGGAGTGCTGCTGTGAAAAGAGACATGTGTGTGACTATTGACCTTTAAGGTCATTTTAACCGTAACCTGTAAAATCTATACCTGGACCAGACACTGACATCAATGAATGCATGATCAATTGCACTTCAAGGAACTTATGACGTATTATACTACCTGTGCTGATTTCAGGTAGAGTAAGTTCAGTACTGAACTGAATGACAAAGAAGTTGTTATCGCATGATTAACAAATAGACCCTGGGAACAGTCCAGGTGTGCTATAGATATATTATTTGCTGAATCAAAGAAAAAAAAATGCTTTAGCATATAAAATGATCAGAAATGAGCTTAATATGCCTCAAGTAATTGTCACTGCGTTTTTAAAGCAAGTTTGTGCCATTATGGTGGGAGGAATTACGCAGCAAACATTCTCTGTGGATTATTTTACAGTGTGCCATGCAACACTTCATCCAGTGAGCTTGTAATATACTGTAGG